CACTTTAATAACAATGGTCACACTTTTCAGTTAAAACTATAGAACCGTTCAAAACGAAATTGTGAATCGCTGGTGCATTTAACTTCTATTTAGTTCAAATTGCACTTAACGACCACTTTTTATCAGAGCCAGTTGAACAAAATGGATATTTAGGTACGTAGGTCAATAATAAAGTAAATATTTAGAATAAATTATACCAAATATATCCAAAACGTGACTTTCGTTGAAGGAAAAACATCGTGAGGAAACCTGCATGTCTGAGAGAACCTAGCAAGTTTTCGAAAGACATGTGAAGTCCACCAACCGGCACTTGGCCAGCGTGGTGGACTATGGCCCGATACCCCTCGTATTGAAGGGAGCCCCGTGCCCAGCAGTGGGGCGTTAAAAAGGGCTGAATAATAAATAAAAATCCAAAACGTACCAAAATATTCTAATAGAAACTCGGGCAATCCCTAGCTCCATTTAATTCAGCTCGTTTCTATCGTTGGCTTACAAACAAGAAATATGTATGTGAAACCACGGAGAATATGTAAAAGACAGATGTTGCTACTAATTTTTCTTTGCATAGATTAATATGTGAATATTTTAAGAATAGACACATTAGACTGGCACACTTTACACAAGTACAATACTTTTAACTTCATACCTAAGTCATACCAGTTTATCCTTATTTCTAGTGTTTATTTCGTGTCTGTCACTGTGTCATAAATAACAATGAATGTTTTGTCGGACAAACATAATATAACAATATATATATATTTCTTAAAAAAATCTCGTACGGTATCCTGAGCTCTAAAATATATAAATTAACTAGCATTGCCCGCGGTTCCGCCCGCGTTCAGATGACCAAAAACTAAATTCTTAGGTTTTACATATTAGTATACTCTTACAATGCAGTTTTTGTATTTTTTTTAGAAATGGGATATTTTTCCGCGGTAAAAAGTATCCTATATGTTGACCTGGATAACCAGGTATCACCATACCAAATTTCATCAAAATCCCTCCAGTGGTTTTTCTGTGATGCGGTAACAGACAGACGAACAGACAAACAGACAGACAGACAAAAATTCTAAAAACTATAGATTCGGCCTCTGTATCGATAATAATGTTTATTTTAATAAGATTTTCCAAAAAATATTTAGTATACAGATTCGGCTTAGTTACAATTTTATTATATTTTATTTTTAGAATATAAATTGCCCGAATATATTTTTACATTTTTTAATAATTATATGTTTATGTAGGGAGAATCTTAGAGAAAATCTTATTGTAATTTATATGTTGGTCACCCATTAGGTTGATACTTTTATTTACTTTACTTTAATTAACACCCTTGTGTGTTTAAACGATTTTCATGTCGGTGTGCTTTCTTAGTTAAAATTTTCTAGGCATAAACGCCCGGTGATAGTGCACACTTTGTCATAGTACCTATATCTAGTTTATACTCCGTATGTACAACGTAAAACGTTAGCGCTCGACTGTTCCAAGATTGAGAAAATGGCCCACGATGTATCTCGTCAGATTCACTTGTACTTGGGAAATTTATTTCATTCCGTCGCTGCATTAAGAATGGAAGCGTGGTTTTACGCTGATATTAAGTACCTATAACAAGTAGGGCGAATGGAAAGATTGGAAGAGAATGAATTAGAAGAATCTTGTCTTTTCTTAATCTTAACTTTAACTTTTTTTTTAATTAATTACTTTACTATAAACAATTGTTTTGGACATTGTATTACTTGTATCACAATTTTAACATTGCTCATTTTAATTTTATTACTCTGCCATCATTTATATGTACCTACTAGCGAGTAGCGACTCACCCTCGCTCCGCTCGGGTTCGTCCCTACTTACGTTTTAACATTTAGTATATATTTCTCAGAGATGAGATGTTTTTCTGCAGTAAAAAGTATCCTATATGTTGACCCGGATAACCAGCTATCATCATACCAAATTTCATCAAAATCCCTCCAGTGGTTTTTCTGTGATGCGGTAACAGACAAACAGACAAAAATTCTAAAAATTATATATTCGGCCTCTGTATCGATAATAATGTCTATTTTATTAAGATTTTCCAAAAAAATAATTAATGTACAGATTCGGCTGAGTTAGAATTTTATTATATGTATAAATAACAATATATTTTATAATATAAATAAACAATCAAATAGTGCAACAAATATCTACCAAATTCAGCACTAGTCTCTGAGTGAAATGAGTATGACACACGGAGAGACAGACGGATATAAAGACATTGTAAGTACCGTGTTTGCCTTTTGGCTACGGAAGCTTAAGAACTTTGTAAATGTGACGCCAAAAGAAAAAATCATCAAGTCCCAGAACGTATGTAAAAGAAGACAATTCAAAAGTACACGGAGCTTTCGACAAAGATTAAATACATCCGATTCGCCACCCGCTAGAATAAAGCATTGCCGGCGAGGGGCAAACAAGAAATGTGAAATGCGAACCGTTGGCGCTCGGCTACCGCGAGATGGAGAAAATGGACCGCAATATTTCCCTGATAAAATATCTTCTCGCTACTTTAGAACTTAGATTTTATTTTCTTCCACATTTTGTTCACAATTAACTGGATGTGATGAATGTGTGAATTTTTTAATGGATATTGATCTAGTTAGATTACTTTTAGGAATGCATTAGTTTGTTTGTTTGTATATTTGTTTTGACGACACGTTTGGCTCAGTTTGTAGTGACCCTCCTGCTTGTGCCGGAGGTCGCGGGTTCGAGTCCCGTTGGGGGCATTCATATGTGTAATGAGCACAAATATTTGTACTTCGGTCGTGTGTTTATATTTATAATATGTATGTATTTAAAGTTATAACTACCTGGTATCCATGACACAAGCCTCGTAGCTTACCATGGAACTAGATGGTGCTATGTGTTAATGTCCCGACATATTAAAAAAAACATAAATTTGTTACTCCTTCACGCTGAAATGGCTGGACCGATTTTGATAGAATTTATATATAAAAGACTGTTAGATATAGAAGACCTGGGTAATGTTAGGCACCTAGGAACGTACCCGAGCTAAACGCGGGTTAGTCGCTACTCGTTAGCATGAAATAAGCATACCTATAGCATTTTAGTATTATAACGACCCAAGGGTGTTACATCACGACTTTCTCCATGTCATCAACTCATGCTTAGAAACTTTGTTACACCATTGAGCATTTAAGAGTTAACAAGAAAAATAAAACTAAAGACGTTATAACTTTTTACTGATAGTGAGATAAAAAACCTATGCCACGGCTCGAATCCCATACATAAACTACGTAAACAATCTCATGGATACGCTGTTTCGTTGCCGGGAGGACAATCCAACTATAATAATTTCTCATTTATAGTACACTAGCGGCTCACCCTCGCTTCGCACGGGTTCGTCGCTAGGTACGTTTTAAATAGATATAAATAGTTACTAGCCAGCGTTAGCCATATAAATTTAAATTGTTTTTTTCGTTAATTTTTCAATTTTTCTTTTTATTAAAACCTTCCGTGGACCGGAAAAAAAATTGCCGAATTGGTCCAGCCATTCTTGAGTTATGCGCTTACCAACATTCATTTTTATTTATATAGATATGCATTGCTAAAAATTAATGGTCGTGGGCCAAAAGAATTTTATAAGTTGTGGAAAAGCTGAAAACTGCACTTTAGTGATATCAAAACATTCTTACGTGGAATAATCGGTTTTAACTAAAATTAAAATCAATTTAAAGTGTAATTATTACATCATTATATAGGAGAGTTATTATTTCTTGTCATATGGAAGGACTCTTGGGATCAGTATTAATATTATAAATGTGAAAGTTTATGAGTATGGATGTTTGTTACTCTTTCCGCACAAACGGCTGAACGGATCTGGATGAAATTTGGCACAGAGATAGATTATAGTCTGAAATAACACATGGGCTACCTTTTATCAGGGAAAAATGTACGGTTCCCGTGGGATAGGTTTGTTTTTATATAATAAAATATCTCTTAGTTAAAGTGTTATTTTAAATAAAACTACTATTTAAAAAAAAATTTAAACTAAATTTTTTGTTCCCGACGTTTCGATGATTTTATTTAAAATGTAAATAAATGTATTGCATTAAAAAATCATTAAAATCAGTTTACACCTGGCGAACATATCGCGTTTTAAACACAAACTTAAATTGAGTACCTAGGTACCAATATTCTCTTTATTAAAGTCCGTCAAAAAATTCTTCAATCAACAAATATATTTTTAAAGCTTTAATCTATTATAAAATTTGGCATAAGTTTGAAATTATTTGTATTCTTCAAATATTGGAGGCAATTAGCAAGATTATTATGCATAAAATGTTTTAACCCGGCTGTTTATTTTGAATAGGACGGAGAAGCGGTAAACGTGAGTTATGTGGAAAGTGAAATGTTCGCTCTCGGCAGCTATGAGATTGGGAAAATGGCTAACATATTTCCCGCCAGATTCACTAAAATATTATATTCGTTGCATTTATGTCTTTTTTTAGGCAAATATAAACTATTTTATTTTTATATTTTAAATTAATTTAAATTAATTGTGTTTGTATAGATGTGGTTACAGATATTTAATTTTTTATTAAGAAAATTTATTATCTGTAACCACATCTAAACAAAACAATTAATTTAAGTTAATTTAAAATATAAAAATGAAATAATTTGTATTTGCCTAAAAAAAGATGTATAAATGTGGTTACAGATAATAAATTTTCTTATTACAATATTAATTATAGCATAAAAAATTATATATTTGAACCTGAAATAAACTGAAATATTGATCAAAAAAATTTTGAATTTTTTTTGTTTTTATTAATTTACATAAAATAATATTTGTAATTTCTTTCTTATCTAATTAAGTATTTCTAATTTTAGATAGTACTAATGTTGCAAAAGTTCACACTATTGGTCGCTGACGCTCTTAAACATTCAAAGTTACACGAAATGACAATTGAATCTATTTAAAGTTTACAAAGACAGAACAAGTGGCGATGTGCGAACGTGTCCGGTCCGATCGTCGCAAATCTTCCATTTCACTCGGGCTCGGTCACCGCGCGCTTCGGAGAGGAAATAGCACGCTCCAAAGCACGCGACTGCGTATCGGCTACTCCCGAAATAGTCCCCCCGCGCGGGGTGCCGGCCATCGACGTGCTTTTAGTATGCTGCGCGCATGCGACACGCCCGCACCCTTCCACGCTCCTGGTAACGTCTACACGCGAATATTCTTAAGCAGATAAACAAATGATCTAACGATATGGTCGCCATACTCGCCAACCCCAAATGGAGTGAAGACCTCACCATACAAATGATCATCGAGTACGAAAAACGCGAGTATCTCTGGAACCCCGTCTCCGAAAACTATAAGAACAAAAAAGTACGCGAACAGGGCTATGTCGAAATAATAAAAACGCTTAATCTAGTGGATATCACTGTTAAGGAGCTGAAAAATAAAATAAAGAACATACGGTCGTCGTATAGTGTAGAGTTGAAGAAAATTCGCGCGGCGCGGAAGGCTGGCGCGCATGCGTACCGGCCGAGCGTCACGTGGTTCGAGCACGCAGACAGGTTTCTGAGGGCGATCGTCACTCCGAGCTCCGTGAGTGTCTTTATTTACATAGCTCACACATGCGCTCTTGCGTCCTAACTTCGAACTGTAACTTTCTTTGTTTCAGATCGACAACAGCCTCCTCGAAATACCGATGAGTGACGACAGTGACGTCGTTCAGGATCTCAGCGAACGAAAATCGCCGGAAAAGAAAAGTCCGCGAAAACGTCGGAGTTCTACGCGGTCGTCGACTCCATACGTTTTAAACACGCCGTCCCCACGCCCAAATACGCCTTTCGGGCTAAATCAAACTTCGTCCCCGTTTGGTATCCTGCCGACCTCGACGTCCGCCCCATTCCTTAATCCCCCCGTCGGTATAGCAACGCCTTTAACCACTTCGCTCGCCACAATTTATCCTGTACCGTCAAAACAAAAAAAGAGTTTCGACGATCGGAGCGACCAGTCGGAAACACCGCAGGATTTGAGTCAGCATTCTGAGAATGGGAACGAAAACGAATTCGAAATGTTTGGCAAATTGATAGCGAGTCAGCTTCGCAAATTGCCGTTAAGCCTGGCTCTTGACACGCAACTAAAGATTCAAACTTTAGTGAACGCGGCGCGAATACAGGCCGTTTACCAGCAGTACAGCTACGCGGGCCCGTCGCAGGAAGCTCTGTCAGTGCAAGCACTTTCAAACGGTATATTAGCAAGCATGGCCTCGCAAAGCCCGTATGCATCGCGATCCGTAATGGACATGAGAAATGATTCGCCCGACGATTTGAATAGAGATCTCAAAACTGAGTATTTGGGGTCTGAAATAGAAGATTAAGCGTGAATTTTATAAATGAAGCAAATATTTTATGATCGTATAAATGAGTTGCATTGCTCATATTACAAATTACGTTTTGGTAATTGCAGATTTTTAAAGAAATAGATTTCATATCCATTTTAATTAATTTATTTTTTAGAAATATATAAAACTTTATATATGAATATGTTGTTGATATTCTTGGATATAAATGTAAAATATTATTAATTACTTGTATAGCATTCAAGAACGTTTCTAGACTTAGATACTTTTAGTTTTTGAATTCAATTAAAGGCAATTGCCAAAACTCATGTACGTGTTTTAGATGTTTATATGAATGTGATAGATGTTATTATAGGAACGTGATTTTACACAACAGTGATGAGATGCCAAAGTACAAATTATATATGGAAATATACAGAGGAAAATAAAACGAAAAGACAGGAATAGAAGACATTTTTTTCATCTAGTCTACATGTGATTGATATATTTCGATCTTCGGCTGTGTTTAGGTTACTTTACTTTATCTTATTGAACTCAAAATTATATATCAAAAATTCATTCAATTTTATATCGACGTATTTAGATGGGTAAAAATTTTGGAATACTTATTTATTTAATAATCATCATGTATATTAGATATTATGAATTTATTTTAAGTGTGATAGTTGCTTATAAAAACGTAACTAATAAAGTTACTTAGTTATAGAAAAAAATACCTCAAATAGAGTATAGTATAGATTTGATATAGTATAAAATATATTTTATCTGTTGTTCGATGTGCCACAATTATATAAATGGAATGTGATTTATTGAAAATAAATATTTTATAAATGTGAAATTGCATTTGTTTTAATTACTGGCAACACTTGGTTTCCTATCAGACCGATCAACCCTTTCATTTTTATTGAGAATATAAAATTTTATTATTATGTGGTAGTATATACATATATATTATATATTAGTTTATATACATTACCCATAAAACGATCCGTGAAACGTTTGATAGTGGAATTCAAAGTTAACACTATCTTTAAAACTGCTACGCCTTTTGTTAACACTTTTCAACAATTTTTGCATTAGATTAATGTTTGGCTACAACATATTAAGTTCGTTCAGTCGGATATTCTAGCTTTTTGAGTTTAAACCCACTTTGATATTCTAGCTTTTGATACCTCATTTTACTTGCAGTCGTCGGCATAATCGTAAATTTCAAATGTCTTGAGACGAGAAACAAAAATAAAACTTTTCCGGGTCATTTCTCATTTGTGCTTTTTGTTATGGCAACATCTGTAATATTTCCATATACTGTAAGTGTTGCAAGTACTGAACTTTTACTGTAGGGACTAGAGAGTATGTTTTAAATTAGAATAAAAAAATCAAAGTAAAATAGTATTAGTAATAATAGAAAAACTAAACAGTTTTTAAAGATTAAAAAACCTGATGAATACGTAATGAAGGCCCTAAAATAGCGCATTAACATTTCTTGTATAATAGTTATATATTTAAACATCTTATCTGTTTTTTCAAGGACTTATAATATTAAGTTATTTTTTATAACTTTTTATGTGAAAGGAGTTAATTTTTAATATTGTTAATAATATTTTAGTACTTATATAAAAGAAAAAAAAACAACTCACTCATTGATTAATCACGAAATCTAAGAAAGTATAAATGTTACAAATTTATGCAGGTAGGTGCATAGGGAAGGCTATTAGTCAAGAAAGGGTTTTTGGTAGTGAAACTCTTAGATCCCCCTAGGGGTTAAGTTTCCAAAAAGGGGTCAGAAATTTGTATTAAAATCCATTACTTTTAAACTACATAGGCAGAGTCACGAGCAAATGTTAGTAGTATTATAAGTTAAAAAAAAAGCTATCGCTAGCACATCACTAATTGTCTTGTGCACAGAAACGCTCGTGTTAAATCATAATGCACATTTTTTGTCAGATCGGTGTCAATTTATATTGGTTTCGGTCAGCAAATATTTCATTTTACTTTTAATAGCCCATTCACTTGCAGCTGGTCGTAATCGTAAACCGAATAGCTGGAGACGTGAAATAAAACTTCCGAGTGCCTTGCTGTTTACTGCTGGCTTGTTATGGTGGCATCTGCAGATTTTGCATATAGGTACTAGGTATATCTCAAACATTTGAGGTCACGTTAGATTTATAATAAGAGTACTAACGACTAACTCTAGCTGCCTTACCTATGTATGTATTCCTCCAGTTCACATTCTATCTCTGTAGTCTGTACTCATCCAAATCCGTCCAGCCGTTTAAGCGTGCAGAAGTAAAGATATATGTAAATACATACAAACTTACAAAGTTTTGCAATTTTAATATTAAATAGATTATTATAATTATTTGTAAACTGGATTAAGGGCTGTCATAATCTAGGTAGGTATACATAGAATAAAATTCTAACTTAGTCGAATCTGTACATTCAATTTTTTTGGAAAATCTTATTGATATAGATATTATTATCGATACAGAGACCGAATCTATAGTCTTTAGATTTTTGTCTATCTGTCTGTGTCTGTGATCGCATCACGAGAAAACCACTGGACAGATTTTGATGAAATTTGGTATGATGATAGCTGGTTATCCGGGTCGACATATAGGATATTTTTTATTTTTATTATATATTTTTTACTTCGGAAAATATAAATACGTCCAACTATTGACGATTCATGTATATTTAAACTTATGATCATATGATGATACACTCAAATTAAAAATATTAAATGTCTAATAATTTTCCTATACATACACGAAAGTATTGTTTTGAAAAGCGAGCTATTAACTGCAGTTTCGGTATCTGCAATATTAGCATACTTCTTGCTGTAACGCTGCATCGCGTATTTGCATACTGTTTTGCTAGATAGTGCCAAAATCGGGCTAACGCATTAATGCGATTTGATAATATGTGCCGTTTAGTGATCGGATATTTTCTTTGTTTGCTTTGACAAAAATCATTTCCTGATAAGTGATAATGCCTAATAGTACTTATTCAGCCCCTTTTATAGTCCCACTACACCACGCGCCTCCCTTCAATATGAGGATCAGGCCATGTCAGGTCTAATCTATACATATAATAAAATTGTAAGCCGAATCTGTACATTAAATATTTTTTGGAAAATCATATTGAAATAAACATTATTATCGATACAGAGGCCGAATCTATAGTTTTTAGAATTTTTGTGTCTGTCTGTCTGTCTGTTAACGCATCACGGAAAAACCACTGGGGGGATTTTGATGAAATTTGGTATGGTGATAGCTGATTATCCTGGTCAACATATAAGATATACTTTTTACTGCGGGAAAATGTCTCATTTCTAAGAAAAATACAAAACTGCAATGTTAGAGTATACTAATATGTAAAACCTAAGAATTTGGTTTTTGGTCATCTGAACGCGGGCGGAGCCGCGGGCAATGACAGACAGACGGTCAGACAAAAATTCTAAAAACAATAGGATCGGACTCTGTATCGATAATAATGTCTATTTCAATTAGATTTTTCAAATAATATCAAATGTACAGATTCGACTTAGTTACAATTTTATTATATTATGTAAGTATAGTATGTATAGGTATAATGAATTGTTGTGGGTTGTATTATGAAGTGTTTTCTTTTTCTGTTTTGTCACTCTGTTTCGACTTAAAAGAAAGACAAACAAACAAACAGACTTTCACATTTATAATATCAGTATGGATGACATATTGAAGTATCTTGCGAAGTAAAATGTAGATATTAAGATAGAGATGTAATGCTTAATAATTGGACATAGATAATAATATATCGTTTGATAACGGTTTTTTTGGCATAGGAATTTATAAGACTAATAGAAACATAACATTCTGAAGCCAAGATTTCTCAGCGAAAGAAATGCTTATGTACTTATCTAATTTCCGGGCTAACAAAACCGAAATCACAAAATATTTTACTCTATATATTTTTGAAAATTCCAAGCACGTTTGTCCCAGGAAGTAGAGGGAAACGATGCTCGATTCTTTATCAAGCTCTATAAGAGACCAAGAGCGGTAATTGGTTAAGCGTGTAGTGTAAACATTAGTTTTCTTGGTTGCAAAACGATTTATCGATTTTAATGATACCACGATCTATAAACAAGATATTGCAACACCTTTCCAAACGTTATTCACCTTGATCAGAATTTCATTTTTTTAAAATTCGTCTTTAACGGATATATGCAGTCAAAAAAGTACCTAAGATTTTCGGTGTTTTAGCAAAAAGTCCTGTGCTGCTGTTTTTTTGTTATTACATATTTATTCTGCCAATAAAACAGACATGTATGTGTGTGTGTGTGTGTGCGTGCATGCGTGCGTGAGTGCGTGCGTGCGTGCGTGCGTGCGTGCGTGCGTGCGTGCGTGCGTGCGTGCGTGCGTGTGTGTGTGTGTGTGTGTGTGTGTGTATATGTATTCAGCTCTTTTTAACGACCCACTGCTGGGCACGGGCCTACCTTCAGTACATTGGGGTCAGTGGGGATTAGGCCATAGTCCACCACGCTGGCCAAGTGCGGGTTGGTTCAGTCAAGCAGGTTTCCTCACGGTGGTTTCGTTCACCATAAGGCAAGTGGTAATCAAGTTAGTAATTATTGCAAAGTGTAAAATACGATCGTCTAATGATTTTTTTATTAATAATTTATTGTTAGATTTGTAAAGAAATACAACGTAGGTATCCTATCCCATATCCCTACATATTTATTATACTTAAACATTTTTTATTCTGTGGATCAAATCTAATATTTTAAAAATGTATAATATGTGTATTTTAAATAAATATATTTAAAAACACATGTGGGTGAATATTTCATTTCGTGCATATTTAGACATTTTGAAAATAAAAAATTTGGCCTCACGGTGTTCTTTATTATGTTTTTGTAAAATATATAATTAAACTAAGCTAAATGTGACGCAGGGACAGTGATGTGGCGTAAAAGTTTTCTTTGGTAAAATTTATTAAAGTTTTCTATCCATTTTTTTCTTTGGAGTCTTTTGTTA